CTGGGAAGCATGGACGGAGCAAGCCTCCGAAGGGGGGGGTGGCCCAGGGGAGCTGGGGCTCAGGCTCAGGGGAGGGGCCGAGGGGGACGAACCACCGCGAACCACGAACCACGACGAAAATAAGGATGTCCGAGCTCTAGAGCACAGCTGTGCGAGAGAATAGTGTGTCCGGAGCGACGAGGGCTGGGGCCAAGGCCAGGGTCGGGGCGAGTGGGGTCCAGGGCCAGAGCAGGGAGACTGAAGCTCGGACCAGAGGCCAGAGGTCCGGGTTCGAAACCAGGAAAGTACACGGTCCGGGGCGAGGAGGGTTGTGGCGAAGGCCAGGGTCGGGGCGAGTGGGGCCAAGGCCAGGAAACAAGCTGAGTTCAGCCAAGGCCAGAGGGCTGGGGCTCGGACCAGAGGCCAGAGGTCCGGGTTGGGGCGAGGGGGCGGGGGGGGGCGGGCCACAGCCAGGGGGACGGGGGCGAGGGGAAGCGGGCCACAGCCAGGGGGACGACGACAAACCACGAATCACGAAAATACAAAGGCCGGGGCGAGGGGGGCTGGGGCCAGGGTCAGGGACGCCAGAGCCAAGGAGGGAGGCTGGGTCTGGGTTCAGGGCCAGGGCAGGAGGACGGGGGCGAGGGGGCCAGGGGAAGCAGGCCAGAGCCAGGGGGACGACGACGACGAGCGAACATAAAGGGTCCAGGGCGAGGGGGACTGGGGCCAGGGCCGGGGGGGAGGAGGCTGGGTCCAGGGCCAGGACCAACGGGGCGAGGGGGGCTGGGACCAGGACCAGGGGGGGAGGTTGTGTCCAGGGCCAGGACTGGACCAGGGACGACGACGAGCGAAAATAAACGGTCCAGGGCGAGGGGGACTGGGGCCAGGGCCGGGAGGGGGAGGCTGGGTCCAGGGCCAGGGCCAGCGGGGCGAGGGGGGCTGGGGCCATGACCAGGGGGAGAGGTTGGGTCCCGGACCAGGGGGATGACGACGAACGAAAATAAAGAGGTCCGAGCTCTAGAGCACAGCTGTGCAAGAGAATCAAAGACTCCGAGCTCTAGAGCACAGCTGCGCAAGAGAGCAGAGCAATCTGAAACCCTGTTGGGGGGCAGTGGAGGCCACGGAGCCACAGGGGAGGCCAGGGAGGCCAGGCCGGCCGGAGGGGGGGGGGGGGGGCGGGGAGGGCCAGTGAGGTTGGAGGCCAGAGCTAATTACCAGGGAGGCCAGGGAGGCCAGTGTAGGGGAGCCAGGGGAGGCCACGACAACACGACGATGACAACGATAATAAACCAATCCGATGCCCCGGGGGGGACGGCCAGGGAGGCAAGGCCAGAAGGTCATGGGTAGGGCATGACGTCGGGACGACGACGACGACGACGACGATCTCGATGACAACGAGGGGAAGAGAGGGTGACGACGACAGTCACGACGACAGCGACGGCGACGACAGGGGAGCAGGGCGGAAGGTGAATGAACGGAAGAGGAGGAAGAGGCTGAGGAGGAGGAGGCGGAGGAGGAGGAGGAGGAGGAGAATTCGGGAGAATTCGGCGACGACGATAATACGCCTCCTGGGACGCTTGCCCTCTCGTGGACCTGAGCGCTCGGGGCGGGGAGGAAAGGCGGTCGGGAGGGCTCTCTAGCCGCCCTGCGTCCGGAAGCGGTCCACTCGGCGCTCTACCTCCGCGGCCAGCAGCAGCGCCTCCCGGTAGCCCGCCTGGCCCAGGCCGCAGCCCGTTCCCGTGCCGAGTCGGGCGGCGGACCGCGTCGGGCCTGCCAGAGCGCCGCCCGCTCGGAAGCCGTGGCCGTGCACTCCGAGAGGACCTGGAATAGCACGTTCGCGTGCACAGCGCCGAGAAGAGCAGGCGACCTCCGAGCCCACGGCTGCGGGCCCTGCGCGTGGCCCAGCGGCAGGAAGCCACCGCGCAGCCGTGATAGGGAGCGCTGCGCCACCAGCAGATCCCAGCCCAAGCTGCTGCCCTCCTCCTCCTCCTCCTCCTCCTCGTCCTCCTCCTCCTCCTCCTCCCCTCCTCGTCCTCGTCCTCCTCCTCCTCTCCTCCTCCTCCTCCTCCTCCTCCCCCTCCTCGTCCTCCTCCTCCTCCTCCTCCTCCTCCTCCTCCTTCTCCTCCTCCTCCTCCTCGGGGCACCGCTGGTCGCAGCCCTGTGTACGGCATTGGGCACACGCGTTGTGTGGCAGCAGCCGACCCTTCAGCTCGGCACCCTGGCGTCGACTACCACGGCCACTACGAACCGTTTTCTTCTTCAGCTTCAAAGGTCGACCTGGACTGCGGGGCAGGAGCAGGGGAACACGCCCGCGCGCGCACAGAGGATTCATGTCTGGGAGATGTGACAGAGCAGTCAGCGCCCCCCGCCGCACCCCTCTAGAATCTAATCAGATGATCAGTGCGTGGGATCGTGGAGTCTCGGAGTCGCCCCCAGTTTTTTAAAGCACAGAAAGGTGCATCGGGATTTCGCAAAATCCTTTCGCAAATGAAAGTGCACTCCAATATCCAGCTCGCACAGGTCCAGCGAGGTCCCGAGCCTCGCCAGGCCCCGCATCGCGTCGCCGCGAGGCCTCCCAAGCGCCGACTCGGGCCCATCGTCGACGTTCGAACCATGATCCCCGACATTGGGCACCTTCTATGCTGTTCCGATGCCTTCAGCTCTATATCCCATGGCATTGGCGATCATCGTTGTTGTTCCGTTGCCGTGAGCCCGTGGCTCAAGTGCAAGCTGCCGCCGATGCGCCGCCCTTGCTCGCAATTGTGGAGTCCGCGCTTGGCCGGACACGGCGCGTCCTCGAGCGCCTCAGCGCGGCGCCCAGGCGGGCCAAGGCATTTCGAGGACTTCGCGGGGTTCACGCCAGGGGAGTGTCTAGGCCCCCGCTGAGAGGGCCCCAACCTGGTCACGCCGCGAGCCATGACTCTTGAATGACCTCCACGAACTCACGCCTGGTGGATGTTGCGGCCCGGAGTTGACAGCCCGAACGAAGCCTTCTTGTCCCACGCGCAGCACGGGCTTGTTAACTTAAATTTAGGGCAGGAAAGCGACTGGGCAGCCGTTTCCTGATTCAGCTTCCAATTTCGACCCGGACTGCGTGGGCCTGAGCAGGGCATTGCGCCCGGTCGCCGACATGGGACCCACGTCTGGGAGATCCCCCACAGCAGCCAGCGCCACCCCCCCGCACCCTTATAGAATCCTAGCGAGAGGATCGGCGCGCGGGATCTGGGGATCCCAGAAGCATCCCAGGTTAATGAGATTCGCTGCTTTTATATATTGGGGGCCGCCCATATTCCGACACCGCACAACAATGGAATCCCAAACACCGCGCCACTCCGCAGCGGTCCCGCGGACCTTCGAGCCACGCATCACGTCGCCGCGAGGTTTCCAGAGCGCCGATTCAGGCCTACCATCGACGCTCGAACCATGACCCCCGACATGGACAATCATCTTTGTCGCTCCGTTGCCGCGAGTTTTGGCTGAAGTGTAAGCTGCCGCCGACGCGCCGTCCTTGCTCGCAGAAGTGGTGTCTGCGCTTGGGTCGAAGCGGACCCTCGAGCACCTCGGCGCGGCGCCCAGGCGGGCCAGGACACTTCGAGGACCGTGCGGGTTTCACGCCACGGGGTGTTCAGGACCCCGCTCAGAAGGCCCCAGCACGGTCACGACGCGAGCCATGACGCTAGAATGACTTCCACGCACGCGCGCATGGCGGAGGTTGCGCCCCAGAGTGCAGAGCCGCGAGCGATGCTTATACGTTGCTGTTGCCGCATGGGCCTGCCAATTTAAAGCTGGAGTAGGCAATCGGCTGTACGACGATCAGCCCCCCCCCCCACCACCACGCCCGTCATCGCACGTGCGAGGGCGCGAAGGCGGGCGAGGGGACCGCCCGTGGACGAACCCGCGGGGGCGTTCGGTGGAGCTCCTTGCGGGCCACGAAACGCGTGAAGGGTGTGCGTGCAAGGCCGCGAACTCTGCTCGGACCGAAAGGACCGCGGGTTTGCATGCGGGGTTGGCCAGAAGGGCCTTCGGTGGAGCTCCCCGTGGGGCCACGAAGCGTGCTAGCGGTGCGCGGACACTGGCTCCGACTCGCATGTGGACTTTACTTTTGGAGCCTTTCTGGTCGATCTCATGCGTTCGGCGGACTACGAATGAGGCCACGAAGAGTGCGAAGAGCGTGCCGGAACGTGCGCGGTGCCGCCAAATGTCTGCACCCATTGGGGCCGTCGGTGCAGTTCCTTATGAGACCGCGAGGCACGTGGGGGTTTGTGCCGAAAGAAGAAGAGGCAGGAGGAGGAGGAGGTGGAGGAGGAGGAAGAGGTGGAGGTGGAGGAGGAGGAGGAAGAAGAGGAGGAGGAGGAGGAGGAAGAAGAGGAGGAGGAGGAAGCGGATGAGGAGGAGGAGGCGGAGGAGGAGGAGGGGGGAGGTGGGAGAAATATGAAGAAGAGGAGGAGAAAGAACAGAACGAGGAGGATCATGAGGAAGACGAAGTGGCACGCAGAGATGAGAAGAACGAAGAAAATGAAGAGGAGGAGGCGGAGGAGGAGGAGGAGGAGGGGGAGGAGGAGGAGGAGGAGGAGGAGGAGGAGGAGGAGGGTGGGTGGGAAGGTCGCCCGGTAGTGTTCGGCTCAGCATGGAGCATGATGCAACGGCTCTGCTTCTCGCAAGGCTTCTCATCCTCCTCTGGAGTCCTGGGGGGCTTGCGAACGATTCGGTGGACAGGTAAGATGCGTATTAAGAGAACGGGAGCAGGATCAGGATGATTGGGGGGAGGTGGACGAACAGGAGGAGCATGAGGAGTAGAAGTATGAGTAGGAACAACAGGAAGACTTGGAGGAGCATGACAATTGGGAGGCGCAGAAGGAGCCTGTGCTGAGAGGAAGCCTCGCCTCCAGACCCCAAGGCCTGGGTCGAACGATGATCTTAGTGGTTGAAGCCTTGTTTCTGTTGGTACGCAGTGGCAGTGGCGACCTGGAGAAACGAAAGAGAAGGACGCGAGAATGTGCCCCCTGCTACCCTCCCGGCAGACACTGCCTCGGCCTGGTTGGCGTGAGCCGCGTCGACGACTTCGGGCTCTTGGACGAGACGTTCGATGGGACCTCGGGAGGAGCAAAGACGCACCGATGCCGAGGCCCTTCTCTCGATCTCGCCGCTGTTGAGCCTCCGAGGGGGGGGGGCCTCCGCGCCCAGTAGCCGGAAGGCGCCCCTGGGAGAGGTCCCGGGGGGAGTTGCGAGATCCCTGCGGTCGCCCAGGACCCCCCCAGCGTGCAGCTCGGGCGCGGCCTCGTTCCACCCGCTCAAGTCGCTGGCGGCGTACAACGACTGCTTGGCACGGGCGTCCTCCTCTGCTGCGGACGCCCTACGGCTGCCCGAGGATATCTTTGGTCCTCCTCCTCCTGCTCCTCCTCCTCCTCCTGCTCCTCCTCCTCCTCCTCCTCCTCCTCCTGCTCCTCCTCCTCCTCCTCCTCCTCCTGCTCTTCCTCCTCCTCCTCCTCCTCCTCCTCCTCGTCGTCGTTCGTCTCGTCCCCCTGTTCTTCGCCCTCCCGCTCCGAAGCCGCGCAGGGACTCCCCCGAGGCCTGCCTCGGCCCTCTCGGAGTGGGGGGGCCTGTTATTAGACAGGCCGCTTGCTGAGAGTATGTTTCGTCGGCGTCCTGCACGTCGTCGCCAGCGTCGTCGTCGGCGTCGTCGGCGTCGTCGTCGTCATCGTCGTCGTTGTCATCGTCGGCGTCGGCGTCGGCGTCGTCGTCGGCGTCTGCGTCGGCGTCGGCGTCGGCGTCGTCGTCGGCGTCGTCGTCGACGTCCTCAGCGCCCCCCTACTTCAAGAACCGACGTTTTCCTGCGTTGCCGCCTATGGTTTGCGCCAGCGGGGCGGCATCCAATGTACTTTACGCGCCCTGCCACGTCCTGCTGTGCCAACCTCCGTTCGCCTGTAAGCGTGGAGCGGGGGGGAGCACGAGGGCAGGGTCGGCCCCTCCGTGTCTCGCTGTTCCCCGATTGCTCTGCCCCCCCTGGCGTGCAGGCCGTGCACGTGACCTACGACGAGATGGCCGGTGCGTGCCGCACGGAGGACGGGGGCCCGGGCAGGTATTCCAAGATCGAGCGCATGGACCAGGATCGGGGGAGGAAAAGACGGATACGTGTTGTCCCCCTTCGTTTTCGGCCTTTCCTGGCACTCCTGGGGAATCCTCGTTGTCACCGCTGGATTCGCCTCGAAATTCTGGTCAGAACGCACCCCAAGAGAGGTCCGGGGACAACACGTATCCGTATCTTTCCGCCCCCCAACAGGATGGGTGTCAGAGTACATGCACGGCCGACCCCACATGCGTGGCATACGAGCACAATGAGGAGTGGTGCGAGCTGCACACCGAGGCCATATCTCATGCGGAGCCCACCAGCGGAACGAGCTGCTACCTGAAGCGACCGCAGGTGCCGGGTGCAGCGGCTTTTGACCCCCGTCGTCTTTATCTTCTCCCATCCTTACAGAGCTTGTGCCCCTCCCCAGTCCCGCCTCTCCCACCAGCACCACGCCTGCCACAACCAGGGGGGCCGCGTCGGACCGTGTGTCCATGTGCGGGCACGTGTGCAGTTCTCTCTCAAGGCTCGCGCCTCGCCCACGCCCGTAGTCGCACCAGAGTGCTACTTCATCAGTCCGCGCCGAGACCCGTGCTCGCCCAGCCCTGCCAGTCACGCCGCTACCACCACGTGTCCCCCTCCAGGGGGGCACCGTCAGACCGCGCCAGCTATGCGGATACCCCATGTTTTTCAGGGCTCGTGGCCCCCTCGACCCCGCCATCCCCACCAGTGCCACGTGTCCCCCTCCAGCGATCGAGGGAGGCTGCGATGGACCGAGCCCGCTGTGCGGACACGTGTTCGTTTCTCAGAGTCAGTGCCCTCTCCAAGCCGCGAGTCCCACCAATTTTGCATTTCGCCGCGTCGATCCTCGCTGGCAATGCTGGTGCCTTGTGATTGATGAGAGATCGTGCCTTCCTGACCCCGCCAGTCCCGCCAGTTCCCTGGGTTGCATTCCCTGGGAGGTTCAATACAGTGTCGGCGCTGGAATTTGCCCTATTGGGCTAAGTTGCTGTTGCTTGGCTTCATAGCCCCTTGATCGGGCTCAGTCGCCTCTCTAGAACCACAACCACAACCATGTAGAGTTTTCGCGAGGTCCCCTCGGGGACGAACCCACCGACCACGACATGACCACGTTGGTTGTGGTTGCCGTTGATCTCGTCGTCCTGGGGCGCCACATCGACCACAGCCAGCACCGAGCTGGCCTCGGTGCTCCGACGACAGCTGGCATGCGCAGGGCGCCCCCAAAAAGGGTGCGTCCTCGATGTGGCTCTGGTCGGTTGCCGTCCCCCCTCCAAAGCGCAGGCCTCCCGGAAGCCCGCTCCACAACGCACCGCGTGTCGCGCGGGACCGCGCCCGCTCCTCGAGGCTCGTGCCCCTCGCGCTCCTCGGGGTCTGCGGGCGCGGCGCCGCCGGGCGGGGGGGGTGGGGGCAGGGCTGCCGGCGGCTGGTCCTTGGGGGGGAAGCGAGAGGGGGGGGCTTTCTCGGAGAGCGGCGGGACTTCTCAGGAGCCGTCGCGCCGTCTGAGGAGTCCTCTGTAGCTTCGGGGGAGGTGCACAAGGCTTCTCGCCGCCGAGGGTCATGTCCCCGCCTCGCATCCTGGCAGCCGCCTTCGGGCCCTGAAGCGATGCAAGGGGCTCTGTCATCTTACGGAGAAGGGCGCGGTCCCCTGGGTGTGGACGGCGACCCCGCCGCCGGCGTTCAACGTTGAACGCCGCTGTCTGACCCAGAATCGGTCGGCGTGGAACGGTCCGACGTTTCGGAAGCGGTTGATCGTTCAGGATTGAACGATCCCCGCGGTGTCAGGAACCCACGCTGGGGTCGACACGACAAGAACCCGCGGTAGGTGAGTGACTGGGTGAGCGGTTTTGCCCGCCCTTGGGAAGGGGCCCAGGTCTGCACCAAACGTTTCCAGCGGCCATGGATCAAGCCGTGGCGAAGCGTCCTGGCTTGTCTGTAAAGCCCACCAAAGAATGTTCCAATAACCCTTTGTGGTTTGCACGTGGTTTTCTTACATTTTGTCTGGCGGAGATTGTCTTGTTTGAAATGATTGCTGTTTTGTTCGAATGGACATTGCTTTGTGATTTGTGTCCTGCTTTGATTAAGGGAGCATGTCGTGGTAGGCCTGCGGGAATGCCGGGACGGCGGGCCCCTTCTCAGCTGGAGGGGCGGCGACGTCTCCACCTTTTTCCAGCGCAGATATTTTTCTTGAGACAACTGCGGATCTCCACCACGGTGTGCTGGTGCGTGAAGTTCCACCCGCGACCAGCGAGCCCGACTGGCGACCTGCGACCCGCACCCGCGAGCCGCTCCCAAAGTGGCCCAGGGAGGCACACATACACATACACATACATACTTTCCAGGGTTTCAGTAACTTCCCGTGTGTATATATATAGATAGATAGATACACATATGCTTATATGTATATACACATGTGTGTGCGTGTGTGTGCGTGTGTGTGCGTGTGTGTGTGTGTGTAGTGTGTGTGTGTGTTGTGTGTGTGTGTGTGTGTGTGTGTGTGTGTGTGTGTGTGTGTGTGTGTGTGTGTGTGTGTGTGTGTGTGTGTGTGTGTGTGTTTTGGGGGGGGGGGGGGGGCCCCCTCCGTCTCCCGTTTTGGGGCCCCAGTACGGCCAGAGGGACCCCCCGTGTATCGGCGGCGAGCGAGGGGAGGAACCGAGAAGGGGCGGGCCTTCTCAGAAGGCTCGGAAGTCCCCCGGCATTCTCAGAAGTTTCTTAAGCCTTCTCCGAAGGCAGGGAAGACTTCTCAGAAGGCCCAATGCCCTCTGAGAAATCCCGCCGCCTTCTGAGAAGGCCTTCTCCTTCTCACTTCCATCCCTCTCCCGCCGCCGAAATATTGGGTCCTCAGGGGTTCCTAAGGACGAGGTGCCTTCAACAATTCAATTCCACCCTCGGATCCCGTTCCTATCCCTAAGACCTCATCCATCAGGTCCCCATGTCTGAACCACCGGGCACTGCACCCCCCCCATCCACATGCCGGTGCTCGCGCGCATGCCATGAAGATCTCAGCGCACACCCGGCCCGACATGCCCCACCTCCCCCGAGAGTTACTGTTCCCCCCCCCCCTCCACCTGGTCGGGCATTGCCCAATGGGGGTGCGATCAATGGGTGCCCTAAAAGGGCCTGAAGGGCCCTGGGGCCAAAAGTGCTTGAGAGCTGCACGTGTCTTCACCCCCGATTTGCCGCCCCCCCCAAGACCCTCGCGCCTGCGTCCGCCGTCCGCCGTCCTCATATCCCCCCCCCCCCGTCCTGAATGAATTTGGCGGGCTTCTCGGGGGCACCTCTGAGGGCGTGCTGGGGGCCCGTCGCAGGTCTCGGGGCTGTCTCGGGCGCGATTGTTTACCGGGCTCTCCCGAAGAGGCGTTCCAAAAAGGACCTTGCATTCGAGGATCGAAGGAGTTGTCATCTCCTCCGCGGCGGAAGGCGGCGGAAGGTCGGCGGAAGTAAAACGAGGCCGCCTCCGCCGGCGGAAGCTCGGCGGAAGGTGGCGGAAGTAAAACATGCGCCCCCAAGAGATGCAACTGTTTTTGGGTTCAGGGTTTCCGAAGTCGCCCAGGACTTCTGGGCTGGTCTTCGGGCCATTTTGGGGCCCCCTCTGCTGGTGTCTCTCTGACTCTTCAGTTGGCTCCCTCCTCCCCTCAGCACCCGCGCGCCGCGCAGCACTCGGCTCTGACGCGCCAGCGGAAAGCAGTAGAGACAGGTGAGGGAGGCAGGGGACCAATGGCCCGAGGGGGCCCGAGGCTGCCCCGAGGGTCTCGGGGCAGCCTTGGGCCGCATTGGGCGGGCTCCTCGGGCGGTCTCGGGTTCCCTCTTGAGGCCATCTTGGAGGCTGCCCCGGGCCTTCTCTGAGCGTCCCATGGAGCGATCGGACGCCGAAGCGCTTCGAAATCAAGGGCATTTGGAATTCCATGTGTCGTCGCGGGCCTGTCCAGGTGTCTCTCGACCGGGTCTCCTCGTGAGTTTCTGGCACGCTTGGCCGCCGTCTTGGAGGAATGTTAGGTCGGCCTCGGGCCGCCTTGAGGCCGAAGATAGTTTCGGAGAGGGTAAAAGGGAAGACGATGTGACATACGGTTTCGCTTCGCCTGGGGGGGGGGGAACCCTACCAGACAACCGACAAGCATTCTAACACTCCGCTATCATGCAGGCGTGGGGGGAGATGTCCCCTGGTTCGAGAGCTTGTGACGCGCATTAGATTTCCCCCTTGGGGTCCCACATGTCCGTAGCATGCAGCATCTTTCCCTCTCCAGGCCCTGGGCTGCTTCGAGTATGGCACCAATTACTATGGTAACGACTGCAGTTGCTTGGACGGCGGTATGCAGTACCGGGACGGTATCAGTAGTCCTGTTGATTGCCAGGCCCTTTGCCGCAGTGTTGGCGCCCCGTACTTCACTCTCACTGCAGGGGGCTGGTGTTGGTGCAAGACTTCCGATGCGGATCGTCGCACTGGGCCAGGCGAAGTGGACAGCGTATCTGGTCCCTCGAGCTGTCCGGCCAGCTCCGCTGGGGACATGAACATGCTGATGCACTGAGGCGCCCCAGAGGCAGCCAGCTCTGGGGCGTACTGTCATGAGGCATCTCGCCAGACTATGGCAAACCTCCGAGCCAGCTCCTCTTTGATTTTTTATTTTGCGCAAGCGTTGGATGTTAGACCCGTCGCGCCTGTTCTGTCTCTCCTGCCTCTCCTCCCTCCCTCCCTCTTCCCTTTCTGGCGCTGGCAGCTCACTCCGGAATTGACGAATTCGTAGCTTCACCTCGAGCCTGCCAGTTAGTTGGTTGCCTCGTAATAGCGCCGCATTCCTAGGTGCCTTTGCCGCTTTAATCCGCTCGTTCGGGTACATATTCGACCTTGCCGCTCGCATTCGGCTTGGGCCTGCACGGCGAAAGATAATTGGCAAAGTGTCGTCGTCGCCATTCGTCATCGTCTTGCTTGCCAGCATCTTTCGCC